ACAAAGAGTAAATTACCAAAGTTAGAAAGTCAAAATCGATTTAATTATAATTTATTAACTCGTTAATGACCAGATCTTGAATAGTTCGGTCGTAATTTTAATTTATTATAATAGCTATTACGTCACGGACTCAGCGAGAACATTACTACAGCACATCTATTACGAGTACCCACATCGAGTACATCTCTTACTATTACGAGTGCGCTTCTTATTAATATCGCATTGAGGTATCTCGAATACAAAAGATTAATAGGTATACCATTAATATGGTTGCACATAACATATTGTACCAATGAATACAGCGATACAAGTCATTATACCACAAAAATTATGTCGAATGGTTGCTAAATAATTGTCAACCTAATATTTTGTATTCAATCATTCGTTTTCCTTTACTTGTTGCTAAATTACTTACTATATTTTCCTTATTAGAGTCAAGTTTTTTTTTTATGAATCTCTCCTTTGGGTGTCCTTATACGTACCAATATAGTAGCCAGTAGATACATATTTATCGTAATGGAACATTGAACAATTATTATTATTATTATTATTATTATTATTATTATTGTTACCTTTTATTATTATTATTATTATTATTATTATTATTATTATTATTATTATTGTCGATTCGTCGTCGATGTGTAACATATCGACGCCACGCGGTGTCCGAGTGTTCGAGTGAGGCGAAGGCGGTAGCAGTTACTTTTTTCTTTAGAAAGTTGATGACGGACGATGCACCGTGCAACACATGCCGGTCTACAAGTAAAAACCACTTAGTCTTAATAAACAGTAAGAGGGAAAATAATAATAACAACGTCGACGGTAACAATAATTAAACACACATACGAAACATTAGGGTCTACGAATTACTAGGAAATGCGTGTGTATTCTATTGTATTGTTAAAACTTAAGACCATGAGAGTTATATATAAAATGCACAATGCATACTGCATTTACATGCATGCGTACTTATTCCATAGTTTGGTAGTCACACAACCACAATGCACTCATTGCACTCTCTCTATACGTGATGCACTATATATTTTTTTGTATTACATGTATACCTATGGATTCGCTTTTTGAGTAATTGATAGGATGTGCAAGGTCGTCGTTTTTTTTGACACTTGTGTTCTCTGTTTTCAATAATACAATTCTTAAATTTCTAACAATACTGCAGGTTTTTGATACACGACATCAATCATAATAAATTATTTACATAAACAGTTGAAATAAACCAAGGTCTGTGTACCATAATACATTTTTGACAATTAGAAAACGCAATCTTTTCAAGTAAGTATTTATATTATCTTACATCATTGTTATAATAAAACAACTATGCATATTTTTCAGTGTTATATCATACCAGCCCTCAACTTAAGAATATGACATTTTTTTACCAATCTTTTGTACTCTATTTGTACACGCGATATAAATATTTATTCGTTAATAGTTTTACGAGGATCACGAAATATCATTCGTAGAAAGGAGAGAGGTGATAAAAATCTAAACTAAAATTCACCAAAGAAGCTAAAGGTATTATCATACGATCGGATATATATGATTTAATAATACGTATAATGACATAAACACCCTATGACATATATTTTCATTTATAGCTAATATATACACTATCTATTCTGGAAAATATAGTTTTACATCCATAGAAAATATATACACTATATAAACTCTACGGGAAATAAATAAATTCATTGACATATATATTTATACCCATGAGAGTAGAGTGTGTAAATACACTATTTAGCTTATGTATATGCTCATGAAAATTATATTCAATTTTTGGAATATAGATTAGCATCTATGGCTAATAAACACACTATTTGAAAAGGTTAGGTTAAATTTTAAAAATATTAACAAAACTCACTGTAGCAACACTTCCAAGTCTAAAAGTTTAGAAGAAAACGCGAATGAATATATACTGCCATCCCGCAGCAAACGACTAAGACAACGTACATTCTTCATTAATCATGTCATCGTCGATCATATTTACGGACGATAAGTTCGCCAATACTACACACTTGATATATTTGGTGGTCGATCACTACATTCGGCGTCATACGCCTTGGCAAAAATAATGAATTTGAAATACTTAGGTACCAATTCTAACGGCATGAGTTTTTAACTTTGTAACAACCTTGAAATTTAATTTAGTATAAGTGGCTGTATTGGTTACATAGAATTAGGACTTATTCAAAAAAAAATTTTAGAAGTGCATATAACCATAGATTAAATATACTAATATACTATAGTATATTTAATCTGTGATATAACCTTCATTAAATGCACTCTATCGTTATCATACACAAAATTGTTTACCCACTGCATTTTAAATTTAAAGCTATACAAAATAGTTTGAGACCGGTCGTATCAATGGAATATTTTTCCATTTATAAGTCGCATCCGACCGCTGAAAAACTTAACTCTACAATTAAATATTGTTTTTCACCATCGGCTTGTACACTGCAGTGTTGTATTTTAGATGCAATCACTACTAACTAGGCACGTGATGCCATTTGATACAGACGCAGACTCCCCATGTCGTTCAATAATCATGAAGTCGATCGCCAACCAACGCGGTGGTGCAGTACCGGAACGATTTTACAGTAATCGGATCATCGACGAGTAATGTAAGGGTTGAATTCTGCAGTATTTGACCTAGTTACCCAGCTCAGTCAGTAGCTCGACGTCAGATATCATTAGCAAATTAAATGACCGGGAAAAAATGTAATCGGATCAATACGATAGGCTGTTGTACGTTACGTGATTGTCGGATTGCTGCCCGGACGAACGCCTTTGCCGTGCTGCTCAGTAGTGCGTGATAGTTTTTGTGATCACGATGCCCCGTCTTGCCGATTGGCGTCCATTATAATATGTTATTCGAAACGGTTGGATGACCACCACGAGCACCAGGCTCAGTCCGGGTTCCCGTTGTTCTTGGACTTGATAAAAACAGCAGTGCGTTTTAGCGTACGTCCAACGTTTTGTCGTAAGCCCAGTTGCAGTAGCTATTAACAGTATTAACCATGAACTGGTTGTCACTGGACGACCGCATTGTGACTTTTTTTTATTTAATAGCTTCTAATTATAAAAAAATTACTACAGCTCAACAATTACAAATCCTATTACATGTTATAACAAGGTATTATTTATATTATAATGATACGGTTAACAGAAAATAATAGTGATGTTGTTGTGGAATGAAGAATAATGGGAGATAAGATATTATATAAATATAAATATAAATTTTTATTTTTAAATGTGAATTGTCTGGTTGATAAGATTATAGAATGCTAATTAGTTGTGAGTGCTTTCAAGACTGATGAAAGAAGAGAGATAAGGGGAGTAATTAGTGAGTTTAAATTTGAAATAAAACTTGAGAGAGTGTCGATGATTTTGAGTTCCGCGTGTAAATTTTGATGATTTTTGGTGGCTTCTGCGTAAGATTTGATTTTTTGATAGGTGTTGGAATCAGATCCTTTAGCTGAATAGACATTGTGATTTGCACTTTTCTTTAAGTACCATCATCTTTTCGTCGCTAAGATAGTTAGGTACTTTGACAAGCTTTTGATCGCTACCGTACACGCACGTCAACAACGATAAAATCATATTCGTCCAGTTTCTGAAACGCCGCAATCGATTTACAATTCAATTATTTATAGTATAATATTATTATATTGGTCCACTCAATGACTTATAGTGCAATTAAACGATTATACAATTCGTTCATTGTCTAAAAGCTTTATAATAAATGTTACGGACATACTAACTGTCATAGATCATAGTTAATGAACGATCTTAATACACCACCGTTTTGAAATATTCATTTACCATATTGTTGTGTACATGAATTATGAAATAACTGAGTTATAAAAGCTTAACAAAAAATCTATGTTTTATTAACTACTGAAATAATTGTATATAAACACTAGTAGAAATGTTTTCAAGAAATAATGTGTTATGTGACATATCGTTAAATTAATAAAATTAAATATCTAATTCAAATTATTTGCTGGGCTTTATTTTTTGTTGAAAATATCCATGTTTAACTATACTTAAATCAACAAGTTCACCAAATCTATATCAATTTATATATATGTCTACTAATCACTAATCAGCACACGCCTATAATTTTCTCACTTACACGACTTAATTAGTTAATCTCTTACTATTGTTATGATATGTATTATTTATTTATAAAAAATATTACTTCTTAGTGAAATTCGTGTGTCTTCTGACACAAGCCGCCACAGGTGGTTATAATAATATTATATAGTATATTATTACATAAAATGAATGTTCTATTATTACGAGTAGTCTTAAAATATTTTGATGCTAATGAATGAAGTTCAAATTTAACTTAAGAAAAAAAAACTTACATTAATTTGCATTTTTTTCTTATAAAACGTGTAATTTATCATAATCATGGACCGATTTAAAAAATTAAAATTTCTTTCCAATATTATGCTCAAAACATTTTATAAACAGAGTACCTATAGAATATATTTATTTATTATTATAAATTATAAGTCAAATACAAAAATAAATTACTATTCAAAACAAAATAGTTCTTACTTAGGTATTTATAAGACATTAAGTTAAACAATTTCAGGTTAAACATTTAACACGTATAAAAAATAAATATTTGATCTAATAAATAATCAAATTAAAATATACACTTAATTGTAATAAATTGTTATTACAATATAAAATTAAAATAATACATTACACATTTTTGTACAAAAAATTTATAGTCATAAACTCTCAATACTATTATTTCCATTGATCTTAAAACTTCTTATACAATACTATACTCCTTTACATAATAAATTACTATTGCTATGCATTTTTATCACCATTTTTTAAACATATTACTATACATTTTAACCCTAGATTTAACAGATAATATTAATCAGATAATTACATATTGTATTATAGTTATTATATACATTTAACATCTAAAGAGAAAAATAATATCAGTTTTTTAATACAATTTACATTTTATAACAAATATGCGTATATTATCATCTCACTGTTGAAGTTTTAAATTTACTTTATTACATTTTAATAACCAGATAGTTAATAAATGCCTTAAAAAAAAAAGATTAAATTATTCAATGGTTGTATTTTTTTTCCATGCAAGGTTACCTCGCACACGTATCACCTTCAAAATATTATTCATAATGCATTTTATCACACAATAATGATAATAATGCACTATAAATAATGCACTTTTCTTTAGTAGAACGTGACAAAAAAACCATTGTGAAATAATTTGTCGGTATGAATCTTCTAACGTAACGAAATTATTTAACTAAACACGAGTTATTTGATATACTTTATGTCCATGTTTTTATATAATAATTATTTCAGTACAAAAAAATATAAACATACATTTAGACCATTCATATGTATAGTCGAAACATTTAATACAAATTATAAATACAAAAAAAAAAAAAAAAAAACAATTGAGCAACATCAATAACAATAACAACAAAACAACAACAATAATAATAGCAATAAACACATCGAAATCACATTCAGAAATCGGAAGAAACCGGAGAAAACACTATAGAGGACGATCACAGCTATACCATTCCGCGACAGACGACAGCCAGTTCTCGGGCGACTATAACAACCAATCTTCTTTGACCAAGTCCGCACCCTTCTCGCCGATCATGATGACCGGCGCGTTGGGGTTGCCGCTGATTATATTCGGCATGATGGAAGCGTCAATCACCCGGAGCCCGTCGATGCCGCGAACGCGCAACCGGTGGTCGACCACCGCGTCCGGATCCGTGTTCGGACCCATCTTGCACGTACCCGTTGGATGGTAAATGGTAAACGTGAAGTGTCGGATGGCGCATTCCCAGTACTCGTCGCTGAACAGCTCGAACTTCTTGCACCCCGGCATGGGCGTCAGCAGCGGCCTGGAGTTGTACTTGCGGAACGCGGCCGTATTGGACACGTTGAACGCGATCCGGATGCCGTCTACCAGCACCTGAACGTCTTCCCGATACGCAAAGTAATTGGGCTCGATGATTGGATGCGCTAGCGGGTTCTTGGACTTAAGTCGCAGCCATCCGGAGCTTTTGGGACGAAGCAGCAGCGGCAACAGCGTCCAAGTCTCGGCGTTCACCAGCGGTTTGTAAACCGTGTTGTATACGGCGTCCCGGAGCCCGGTGATCTTCCGGATCTGATCGCCATCTGAGTTCACGGAACTCGGGGCGAAATGGAATTGTATGTCCGGGAACTCGCCGGACGGGTCGGCGTACTTGGTGTTGACGAATGCCAGACCTTCGACACCGCTGGACGTCAGCGGGCCGCGCTCGTTCATGATGTAGTCGAGGGCCACGGACGCGGTAGTAAACCTGGACTTTTTGAAAGTGATCGGATCGTCGATGAGAAACGTCAACCCGCCCAGGCCTACGTGATCCTGCAGGTTATGGCCCACCTTCAGGTCGACGAGCGGCTTGATGCCCAGTTCGGTCAGGTGGTCGGCCGGCCCGACGCCAGACACCATGAGCAGCTGCGGCGACCCGATGGCTCCCGCCGAAAGTATCACCTCCTTCCGGGCGGTAACCGTGCGCCGCTTGCCATCCCGCAGATATGTGACGCCGGTGGTCCGGATCTTGCCGCCGTCGCCGCTGCCACCGGAAAAATGTATGCGAGTCACTTGGCTACGCAACGACACGTGAATGTTGGGCCGCAGTCGGATCGGCCGGAGGAACGCTTTGGCGGTACTACACCGGCTACCCCGGCGCGTAGTAGTCTGCGTGAGCATGAACCCGTTTTGATACTCACCGTTGATGTCACGGTTCGCGTATCCCAGCTCCTCGCCGGCGGACACGAACGCGGTGGCAAGCGGCGTCCGCCACGGTGCCTCCGACACGGTCAGGTAACCGCCGCGCCTGTGGTACTTGGTCCGGGTCAAATACGGGTTCCGGTTGTCCTCGGACTTGAGGAAGTACGGCAGGACGTCTGCGTATGCCCACCCCGGGTTGCCGGCCGCGGCCCACTGGTCGTAGTCCCTCCGGTTGCCACGCACGTATACCATGGCGTTGAGCACACTGGAGCCGCCCAGCACTTTGCCGCGCGGCCAGTTGCACCGATCGTGTACCATGGCCAAGCAGTAAGGGTTGTCGCTGGACGGCGGTGCCGTCTTGTATTGCCAATCCATGTCCGACAGCTGCAGATAGCCGACAAACGACGGGACGTCCGATATTTCCGTCTCGTCGCCGCCGGCCTCCAGCACCAAAACCGTCCAGTTTTGCATCTCCGACAGTCTGTTGGCTACAACGGCCCCTGCTGAGCCCGCACCCACCACTATGAAATCGTATTCGTCCAGTACCTGCAACGGAATAATCGTTTATGAGTTTAATATGAAGTTCACAAGTTTGAGTTTATATATTGTTGTGTTTTGATCATAAATCTAATATCATTCGTTCAACGCCCCAGAAAAAGTTAAAAAAATAAAAAATTGATTCCGACTACTACTAAAATAAAAGACTTATGTATGAATAAATAGTCTAATATATTTTAATATATTATTTTCGTTTTTGTTTGAATTGTAAGTTATGATGATTGACAATAATTAATAATTTATTAGATTCATATTTTTTTAAGATTAGCTACCATTGTTGTTTTTATATGCAGATTTTGACACACGCATTTTTTGTAGTTTATCAGTATTATTAAAATTACAAAACAATTTGAGTTTTCATTAATTGATTAACTACAACGAAGTATTTTTTAAACGACGAAAAGTTATTTAAAAACTAACGTATAAAACATATTTGGTGTTCATATTCAGGGTAGTCATTATTTCAATATAATCTTTTCTAATGAACCAGTTGTTCACTGTTTTTTGACTTATTGTTGTCACACAAAATAAGTCATAAGCGGTGGTCGTCGGCACACTCGATGCGTTTTTCGATAGCGTCAGTCCGCGTATACAAAAAATGCACTATCATGACTACTGCAGCGACCAGCATTATGGTATTTATTATCAAATATTTTGTTCCACATTTTGAACAACTGCTATATTGTTATTTGAAACCATTTTTATGAACAGCTATTCACATTATAAAAATGTCACAGATACTTGGAATTATTGAATTTCGGACATTATAATGTAAGTATAAATAGCTAGTAAGTATTAAGTAGTGGCAGGCGGATAATTTATAAAGAATTATTTCTGCTATATACATGATGTATCAATTTATCGAAATAATATAATATAATTAATGTACTAAATATATACGGCTTATATTTTTATCAATTGTTATGTTGTACAATTGGTAATTGTATCAATAATCGTGGTTTAGCTGAATATCAAATATAACTGGAACAATGATCAAATAACCGGATAACAACAAACTGTATGTCCTAGTTTTTACACTCGTCGTTTAAAACATTAACTATTAACCTATACCACCTGAGGGCGAATTTTATTTTTGTATACACAAAACAACTTCAATAGCAATCTATCCGTAGAGAGTGTAAGTTTGACAGACAAGGGCATCTGAAACTTGAAGAGTCATTTAGTACAATCAAAATACACCATACATTAAAAACAATTAAAATCAAATTACAAAGAAAGTATCTATATATTATTTAGAAATAATATAAAACACGTTCAAACAACAATTACGTAACATTTAAATTTAAATAAAATGGTTTTTTTTTTTTAATACCATATGGTTAAAATATAATATTAGAAATGTTATGTATATTTACAGTAAATAATGATGATAATTACTCGTTCGTATTGATTTTTGAACGCATTTTTTCAATAATTTACAAAATATTATTTTTAGTTTTCTGGTAATAATTAGAAATTAAATATTAAAATTTCATATGATATTTTTATATTCCATAAACAGTTTTTATTTTTATTTAAAAATTTCTCTAAATAAGTACCTACTGAAATGAATGAATTTATAATGTTATGTTACTTGTTTGGCACTACAACATTAATTGTCGTAACAGCTAGTATTAAAATATTATGTATGACATATTACATAATAAATAATAGGGTTTTCAATAACATCTGCCAATAGAATATTATTATTCAGAGTCGTGTGTTTTCATATAAGTTATTTATTATTAATATAATAATGATGTTATTTAATTTATATGTAAATATTCTAACATAAAAATGAGATTCATGCGGATGAAATGGCTTATTTAAACAGATTGGAATGATAAACACTTAATAATATAATTCTTATTTTAATAAAATGATTAAAAAAATACAATAATATAAATTTTAATATTTAAATCATATTTATTAAAAAAAAAAAAAAATGTAATTTAAACAGTAAAAAAAAGTGATTGAGTCATCATTTCTGACTAAATAAATTTAATAGGTATGGAATTATGTTTTCTTTATTTAAAATCTATAATACAGTTTTCTCTCATCTTATGCAATAACACTAAACTGTAGGTATTCATATTACAATTTAACATTCAAATACTTGAGCTCGTTAGTTAAAAATGATTTTCCCACATTTTTAATCTCACTATTATATGTTTTTTTATTATTATTATTTAGTTTACTGCATTATTAATTATAATTTAACATGTAAATTACTGACATGTGAAATTATTTTATTTAACGCATTGAGATATAGTCTTCACTGAGATACTGTTCATCACATATATGGTTGTATTTTACGAGCTTATACACAAGTATTCGAATAGACTATAAATTATAATCTTTCTGTGAAAGTAAACAATAATTTAGTTATAGTATGTCGGTATTATTAGTTATTAGTTTATTACCTTTGCACTATAATATGCCTTATGAAAAGAACTACATATTATACATATTATGTAGATAGTATGAACATAATTTATTAAACCTAATATAGTCGTGAAAAGATTTACATACATCATCAAGTACGTGTTTAGCTCAATAACCAGAACTTAATTACGTGAATATTGTATCAATTAAACTCCTATCGTATTAAACAATTTAAGAATATAGTTTTTAATACTATAATATAGTAATTACAATGAATATTGATGATTTAACCACATACCAATTTTATTTGGTACGTTTATTTTAAAATTTGATGTTATAAAAATATATAAAAGAAGTCTATAGGTACTCGTAATATTATGATTTTACACTTTATTTTAAAAAAGTAAATGATTTTAGTTTTTCCATTTTATACATGTTTTCTTATTTTTTAAATATTAAAACTAAATAATTTAATTTTTAATACTGTAATATTAAACTTGTAAATTGTATTAAATTAAAAACGATGATTTTTTTATTTGTGATAAAATAACTTAAATTAAAATGTTAATTAAATATTTGGAAAATAAAATGTCTGAATAAAAATGAAAGTTATTTTTACATTTGTACAAACATTATATTAATCAACGATTTCATGAATGGTATATCAACAACAATGACTAGAATATGGACGACATCTATTATCCAATATTCATACTTAGTTTATTATAAATTATAACAATGTTAAGATTAATAATATGTGTTGTGTGATTAAATAGTTACGGAGATTAGAATTAAGTAGTTAAAATATAACAAAGCCAAGTTGAAAAGCAGAATCATTTTTTTTTTTTTAATAACTAGTTTGTTAATTTTCTAACTAACCTTTAAACTTAACTAATTTAAAAGCTCATTCTAACAATTGGACTTTTTCTAGTTGATTGAAAAAATAACTCACCAAGCCAAAATCATATTTATACTCATTAATGCATTATTTTGTTTATTGATTAATTTTAAAATAAATACAATAATTTAAATACTTATAAACAAATAAAAATTCTCTTAAATAATCATTTGGATACAATTATGTAATTTTCTAAACGGTTAAATTACTTTAAATACAACTAGTATGAAATAATAAAAAAAAGACAAGTATAGGATATATTTTTATTTTTTTTTAACTCTTAGTTATTATTTGAAAAAATAACAAGTTGCACAATCCTTAACACATATAGAATTTTCCAAGAAAAAATAATTCTCTTAGTTTATATGTAATAAATAGCTTCACAAAAACACAGGATTACCTTACCTATAATCATTAATTATTGATAAAAAATCAATTAAAAAACTTCTACAACAAATTAAATAAAACCGAAAAATTCCTCGCTTATAAATCAATGAATAAACCTCCAAATTCAAGTTAAAATGATGCTTAATTCAATACATAATCTTCCTATGAGCACAAAGAATAAATAACTTAAAAACCTGATATTTGTTATGTAATGTTATATTTTATAGTTAAATATATTGGTTTTTAACTATTCACTTATAGTTTAACGGTGATATAACTTAACTTATTCAAGTTACTTTAATTTTATTAAATGGTTCATCTTTATTTATTAAATGATTAAATAATTGTATTAATAAATGCACAAAGTTCATTTGAAGTCATAAAAAGAGTTAACAAATAATGTTTACAAGGTATATTAAAAAAATATAATTTTAGTGTGAGATTAGATTTAACCATGGAATATATTTTATTTTAACTTAAGAAATAGTGTATATTTTTAGTATGTATAACATTTTGTAACGATATATGATTGTAAATCTGATTTCATAGTAATATACGAATATGCCATGTACAGTATTTATGAAATTCAAAAATATTATTTATTATCAACAAAATAAATAATTACAATATAATTAATTATATAGTTAAATTTAAACAAAAAATTATAGCTGCCTATATTTTTAATAACCGAATTGATTCTCGTAAAATAATTCCTATTTATTTTCGTGTTATGTACATTGTTTTATGTATTACAATTCATGGTTTATTATCTTTCGTATACTTTTTGAAATAAATCCTCTTATATAACCAAGATTTATATTGAAGTATCATAAAGCTATAATGGGTAACCGGTTGGCGATTTCTATTAAAATGGAAAATATTAAAGAATCTTGGCTATATTATAGCTATTGTACCTATATAAATACTTAATAAAGTAAATAATTATGTAATAATAACAACTTTCGTGTGTATTGCGGAACCAAATATAAAATAATATGATTTCCGGACGATTGATTATAAGGATTATTATTTAAAAAAATTAAGAAATTGATAAGTTAACTATAAACAAAATGTTCCGAAAACATTATCAATTCTGAATAATTCTAGAATTGTTATGATAATAACGACACGATATTATTTTTTAGAATTATACTTTTAGGTGGTCATTTATAAACAAAGAGTAAATATTATAATATAGTATAGAAGTTTATGAACGTATTATGATGAGTGATGACTAATCATACAGTTATTGATATCGATAAACATTAAACACTATCACTATCCAATACATTAACAAGTAACTCTACCTGTAAATTGAAAGGGTAAAAACGGCAGTAAAAGAAATCTGATTCAGTTATATTGTTATCCGTATAATATGTTATTAAGTGATCATAAAAAAGAATAATGTTAACAATAACAGTAACGTCAACCTCATTCCCATATCTCAAAATAAAGACTTTTAAAAAAAAAATAATATTATTTTTGTGTGCAATAAGAAAAGAAGAAAATATATTGTAATTCAAAAAACTAGGTATGAGAAAACAACGAATAATAACAATAGTACTATAGGTATAATCTATTGTAGTCAATATTCCAACGTGATATCGTACGTTATCTGAATGAGATACTCAGAAATCGTCCATTATCGAAAAAAATTATTCGATTTTTATATGTAGAAAATATTATTTACCTACGGTCAATTTGTCTTCAATTAACACAAATTAGCATATTATTGTGAAAACTAGACGGTGACAATAATAAAGAATAAATACAGATCATGATGACATTAATATGACATAATTATTATAATAATAATACTTTTTTTTTTTTTGAAAGGACAGTGAAATTTAAGATTACAGCTGAGTCGACCAGACCATTTATAAACCATAATAATTTATCTAATTTATCAGCGGTCAAGTGAAAATAAATGAGCAACTACATTTTCCCGTAAATTAAACACGTGAGTTTAAAAATATATTAGTTGCGCTCAAAAGATCAATGCAATTTCTGTGCCCAATACAAAACCATAGCCATAGTGATTAGGATGAAAATGGGTGCAATATTTATAACAAAGAATCCCGTGCAGATGGTTTTGCCACTCACAGGTCCAGAGAACACGAAATCTTATAAATGTAAAATGCTTGAAACGTGAAGTTATGAAGTCAGGACGTAAGTTTATAAATCGATTACGATATTTACCTCTTGAACGTCTATCACCCGTGACTCGGGGTCGTACATCGAGTACCGGAGGTACGCCAGCCCGACGACGAACACGGGTATCATGCCAGCTCCAGTCAAAGCAGCACTGCTGATGGCGCCGGATATCAATGACGACATTGCTGCTGCTTTCGGTTTTTCTTTAAAATGTTCTTATGAAATTCCGATAGGTATTTTCGGCACCGGCGTTATCTACGCACCGAACAACGATAAGCACTAATATCAGTGACGTATAAAATATACTATAAAACTCGCGAGTTATCGGTACGGTACCACGGTCGCGGTCGTTCCGTCTTGTCGTGGACAATATCCGTTCGGGGCACACTGACCGATCCGGGCGGTCTTCATGTTTTTACGACGATTTTCCGGTCCACAGTAGGTACGAAAGCCGATGACCGTACCTGCACTCGTCCGGGTGCCCGGAGTCCATCATCACGACAACTGCGACTATTGCTTTCTAAAACCGTAAACGCCAACTAAAAATCATAAAATAATAACGATAATAATATTACTACTACTGCAACTATTACTACCTACTACTATACTGATAATAATAGCGCGATGACTATATGGGGACGCGACGCGCTCGAGGACGAGTGAGAGTTCTTTCGAGACGAGACTAGACGACTGCGGCAGTTTCGCCGGGCCCCGAGTCCCACCACTGGGAATGCATTTCTATAATGGTATGATATTTATTAATATATATATATATATAAATATAAATTACATATTATATTATATTATATTATACGCGCGGAATTGAACGTAGACCGCCGCCGCCGCCGCCGCGTACGATATTAATGTTCCCATCGCGTATTACCGTAAGATTTGTGCGTTCAAATTTTTTTTTTTTTTTTTTGTACTTCACTTCCCGGCCGACGCGAGTAAATAAATATACGCGTATACCTACGTGAAAGTGGTCACGACCCGGCGGGTTCGGGTTTCGTGAACGTATACGGATCATATACCTACATATAACATTTATTATTATATATTATATATATACGCGTATACAAGTTTAATACACTTTTCATTTCACTTTATAACGGTCCTTGAAAACTATGCACGTAATCGCAATCTCCTCTTGCAAATTTTATCAACAACGTGTTTATTAAAATGTAGGTATGCGTCTTAAACAAAAAATACGTACTAATTATTTATTATTGATGATTATGAGTTCAGGGGTGTATTGGAGCGTACATACGATATATATACCCAATCATAACTATATTTATAACGAAATGCGTTTACGAAAAAAACAATACCAATTTTAAGTATACCATTGAATAGTGATTAGTGAGCAATACGTGTAGGTATTATATTAGGTTTAATCTAAAATTGAAATACATTTTTGAAAAAGAGCTCATACTTAAGAAAGTTATTTTCTAATACACCCCTGTCCATGGGAGTTATATACTCTGAGTCGTCCATGCTAGTATACACTTTCAATGTATGTTAAATGCTAATGTGTTCGAAATGTAAATGATTTCCGGACATCCAATTTGTAAATTTAGATAATGATTTAACTGTAAAGTGCCAGTACAAGGATTGTTATTTATTAGCGTATTCTTAGTTGTAGAATTTTTACATAAAATTATCAGCATTTAATTGATTACATCGTAGTTAATTGCAGAATTATGTTATTTATAATCATTAATATGTTCGAAATGTATTATTTGTTTTATACATTTAATATGATTGTTAGTGGTGTACTGACGTTTTCAATTAAATACGTTTGTTCGATGAGAGTTTTCCGAGAGTGTCTCGAAATCGTCAAGAATCAAATTTAATATCATTTTAGTACGTTCCAAGAAAAAATGTCATATTTTTAACATAGTCTTAATGCGTCACAAATCAAAATTCAATATTACTCTAGATCCACGGAAGTAAACTAGTTTATGCCCAAGAAATATTTGGTTAATAATATTATTTTTGCTTAGGTATAACTATGTTTAAATATTTTAATTTTTGGGTAAGTATACTAATTTTTATAATATTTACATATTTTTTAATAACTTTAACTCAATGATATATTTTTTGAAAATGTTGAAATTAAAAATACGTCTAAATATTTGTCTATTATGGTGCATCAATTCACTACTCACATCCATTGACACTAAATGAGTCGTATTTGTGCATAATTATTATTGAAGTTAAAATAGAATGGAGTTTCCCCATCATTGATACAGTCGTTGTAAAAATTACATACATAAATTGTGCATTTGTACTATTATTAATTATAGTCATCTTCGATTTTAGTTTTTAAAAGTTTGGTTGCGAGTTGAGAGTGCACTAAGACTATTCAATAAAGTTTTTTGTTAAGACTACGAAAGTACTTTTTTATAATAATGTGTTTTAAAACACCAAATGTGATGCTTATTGGTTTTAAAGTAAAGATGAACGAATTAACTTTTAATAATTTTCAGGGTCCTAATTTACAATGAATAAAATCTGAAAAATAATCTATTTGAGTCTAAAATATATAATATAAGAAATCTTGTTGTATGTACCGGCAACATCGCGACTGCAGTAATTATGCGTTCTACCATATTTAAGCACTTTACAATCATATTTAGATTTTAGACGATAATATATTCTCGTAATAAGTGGACGATTTAAAAGTGATTTTAATGATGAACAAAACTTCCTATAAATGAGTAATATATTGATAAAAATTATTACATATTATTAACGCTCCATTCGTCATCGTCTTGTTGTTTGTTTCATTACCGTTAACAATTATAAATAAAAAAATAATTAGAAAAAAGTAAAAAAAATAAATAAATAAATATTAAAATACTTGTGCCATATCTCTCAGGAACGCGTTAAATGTACCACTTTTATTAATACCTCGCCACCACATTTCAATAAGATACCTGTAATAATTATTATATTTTTATTTATATAATTATATTATTATATAATATTATACCTCAGAAGCAAATCTAGAGTTGTACCCAAGAAATGTCACTCAATGACTAAATACACGATCAAAAATTATAAGCAAAAAAAGAGAGTACTAATCTTTATTACCATTTATTACCATTAAGTCACGATAATTAAAATATAATTGGGTAGTAGAGCGCATACACCGAGCGTCCTATAATTACAAGTAAACGCAATTTGCGGTAGAACGCATACGACAAGAAAGCCAAAATACCTAATTAAGTTCAACAAAAAAAGTTAAAAAACATTTTCTTAACAATTTTACAGACTTAGGGCTATTAGTACACTGTATGCAGACAAATTAAAGTTATCAAAGTTATTAGAATATCAAATATTGAAAAATTAATAATAATTATTAATAACTAAAAACATGTGTATTTTATTGCAAGTGAATTTTTCTCGCACATTATTATTATTTATTATTGTCAAATGTAACTGAGTACTGAAATTGACTAGACGATGAAAGTATTCAGATTTCAGATTTGTATTATTATCATCATATTAAAAAAATTTGTGGTAATTGTTATTTTTATTCACGTTAGTAAAGATTTTAAAATATTTAAACTTTTAAAATTTTTAAGTGAAAAACAAAGATAATTTTGTTTATTAACATTTTACACTTGAATAGCGCTTCACTTATATAAAAAATATAAACAGATATTTTATGTAGTATACCTTCATCAAATATAGATAATGAACTGAAATTAAAATTGCGTCGTTTATACTTTGAAGTATACCTACACAGATTGAAATTAGATTTAAATCCAAATGTTGAGTTAAAAGTTAGAATACCTTATTAATATTATACTAAACTATTTTGACCCAAAAACGGTCTATTCAAAATAAACATTTAAGTTAATTTTTCTATGGTAGTTAGTGTTAATTTGATATAATAGTTTGAAGTTAAAATTAGTATGAAATAATAGGTTACTTAAATTGCCTATTTCTAACGCCTTGAAAACGAACCATTCACGTTGATCCCATACAAGTTAATTTTTATACTAACGAAAACAAAAATATAACTTTTTATATTTATGAGTATTTTAATAAAATATTAAATAGTTAAATTATTTATTAAAAGTATATCAGTTAAGTTATGTATATTCATAACTTAACTGATAATTTGGTTTATTTATTTAAGTTACCAGTAGATAAAATAGGTAATCAGTATTCATTATCAAGTTTTAATTAATACCATGTTTTGTATGACATGCGTACCTTTAAATTATATTAAAAAGATATAAGGTAAGCTCTATATTCTATAATAACACGTTAGTATGTTTTCGTTAAAAATCTCATGTATTATAAAATATAAAAACTAAATCAGGAATAAATATTGTGTATAAAATTAAAATTAAAGGTTCTGAATTAAATTATATTCTATGTTAATATTTCAGTATGCAACTCTCAGTAAAATATGATATTTAAATATCAAAGATGAATTATTGTGGTGTACTATGAATTATTTTATCACGATAATACTACATTTTAAATTATTATTATTAATTGTTACTTGTTAAAACAAATTTAGCATATCAATATTGTATTATTACAAGTTCAATCTAAATAATTCATAATATACAATACATTTCGAATAATTAAATAAATACATTTTTCTATTATAAATAGGTACATATTATAATGGTCTTATAATGTAATTTACTCAAAAGTCATATTCATAATATTTTGATTTACAGTGTTAGATTACAAATACTACTAGTTATACATACAACATATACAAAGAAAATTGAATATAAATGATTCAATACATTTTAATACAGTGTATAAGTATACAAAAAAAATACCAAAGTGGTTTACAATTATGAAGTATAGTAAAACAATAAGAAATACAATAGTAATAATAACAATACTAATATTTATAACTAGACTAGAGTGAATGATAACATACAATTAGTTTTGATAAGTTTTTCAAGTAATTCAACATTAAGTTACAAAATGTTTTAAAAAAATAAATAATTTAAAGCATAATTGCGACTTTAAAAGTGTAAAGAAGAAAATATCCATAAAAATAGTATAACCATAATAGTCGTTTGATCTTATAATTTATCTACGTATAATACATGTTTATAAAAATTGAGCAATACAACTTGACATACGTATTGATATGATCGAGGACTCAACCTCAATAGGCTGCAAATTCAAAAGAGACGACTTTGTCCTAATTAATAGTAATGTTGGCACTCCTTCGTCTTCTTCTTTTTGCGTCAATACCATTCCAATAGTTGATTATCATGTCGGAACCTTTCTCGCCAATCATAATTGTCGGGGCATTGATGTTACCGTTAGTGATCTGAGGCATTATACTGGCGTCAATCACTCTCAATCCCTGAATCCCGTACACTCTAAGCTTTGGATCGACTACGGCAAAAGGATCAGTAGGTGGTCCCATTTTACATGTGCCTGAAAAACGCATATATGATAAGTAACGTAAATATAAAATATGATATTAAATCGATTAGATTAATAAAATTATTGTATAAAGTATAAACTCTATGAATCTAGTGTTAGACAAAAAAACTTTGAGATTAGTCAAAGATTTCAAATTAGAGTACTGCAATCTTGAATTTAAGGTGCTGGTAAATTACTTAAAATATAAGTAGCTATCGTACGTAATAATTATCATACTTTACGATTTAAACAAAAAAAATAATAATAGTAATAATGATAACACATGAAATATTCAGTATGTGTGTTTTGTAAAACAATGTAATATTCAATCTATTTTGTCTTTAATAACGTATTTATTTGGTTTGCATTATTATCGCCTCGGCGCGACACATCATAAAATATTTGCTTAAAAATCACTCCATGACTCATTTATGGTGAAATTGAGTACTGTTCTTCAGTAAGGTACCTTAAAATTTTCAGAAAATACTAATGCTACGAGTAAGGAAAGGTTGGAAACCTCTAAATCAACTAACGATTAAAAATTATTACATAATACGAATCATTAAGACTTTATAAACCTTATTCATCGCATAACCGTAGTCATGTAACTGTAACGTATAAAACGATATTGCGTGTACACTGTACATAATAAATATATTATCATTCATATTCAAAAACTCGTTGCGAATTGTTTGAAAATCTGACACCACCGCCGGACTGCATTTCTCGCGGCATCGATCGGAACCAATTAACCGTAACCGTGGCGGAACGTATACTACTCACCCGACATGTGGTATATGGTCATGGTGTACTGACGTATCACGCACTCCCAGTACTCGTCGGTGAACAACTCGAGGGTCTTGCAACCGGGCACCGGCTTGGCGTGGAATCGGGCGCCGAATCGTTTCATGGCGGTCGTTTCGCCCACCGCCACCGCTGCCTTGACGCCCTCGCGCAGCACCCGCAGATCGTCAGGGTGCGAGAAATAATTGTGGTACATCAAAGGGTACTGGTGCGGGTTGTTGCTCCGGAGCAGTATGCGTCCCCTACTTTTGGGCCGCAACAGCATCGGAAACACCCCGAATACGTCCTTGTTGTTGAGATCGCCCAACAGCTCATTGTAGAAATCGTCGCGCAGACAGTGAGCCTTACGCGCTGCCGTGCCGCCGTCCGAATTGGTCGACGTGGATGTCAACATGAACTCGATGTCGGGCCAGTCGTCAGACTGGTTTCCGTATTTGGTCGTGATGAATGCCACCGTCTCCAGTCCGATGGACGACGTTAAAGGTCCTTCGCCCAGCACAGCATACCTACGGCATCCATACGAGTGAACTTATTGAAATTTAATACAAGGACATACGTATAATCAGATACGTAGGTTATTGATTAGCTTCTGGTATTTAGTTAAATTATCGCAATAATATGCAATTATTAAAAACTGTCGTATAATTATTAGCTTGAAAAAAAAATTTTAAGTTTATCGATTATAAGATTTGATACGCCATTTCAACAAAACATTGTTTAATAATAAAATGAATGTCTATTCAAACGCACCAGAAGATGACTTAGGTATTATTTAAAAACGTGTCATAATAATTATTGCAGTGTATTATAATTATATAGCGTGCGTTTTACCTTTGTTATTGCAATTTATTTAGATCTCAATGGTTTTCTTTAATAGCTGAAATGTTTGTCGTAGGTATGGCATCTGCCACCCATAATATTGCTATTGTATAAATTTGACCATACTATAATTAACTTCAACTGTAATAACTTATCAAAGTGGTAGTGAAATTACGCCATAAAGGTTTTTTTAATGTATGACTGTAAGAATACCTACACAGATTTAGATTCTAGATGAGAGAATTGAACGAAAAATTAATAAATTTAATGTTACCTGTAGGACTTACTCGTATTTAAAGATATTAAAAAGAATTCGTAAAAAGAATTCGTAAAGCTTAACTATTACAGAATTAAATTATGATTGGTAGTAGGTAATATTTTTTTCAATTTTTCAAACAACGAAAATTCGTAGATAACTAAATAGTAGCTTTGAGAAGGCAACACATGAAGTCTAGGAATCTCTAGGAAATGTTATGCGTAATTTACTATTACTTATTTTTAATCGTTTTTATACGCATATATTTTGTACATTATGTGACTGTATAATATTGTTTGTCTTAGTGTTTCAAGAATATTATACTATAATAACACTTTTTTTTTTAATTAAAAAAAATTGCAATATTTTCGGCTTATAATAGTTTTACAGGATTTGTTTCAGGGACCAAAATCTTGATAATATACCAATGACGAATCATTTATTAGGTGGTGATGCGAGTGAACGATTATTCCAACACCCACCCAAATTCGGTAACCTCCATTTTATACTAGATAGGCATCTACTTATCTTTAATATTACGAATATATACATTTATATAATACAATAATAATTTTTACTTGCGCATCATCATTAGACGTGTCTATCATTAATGTTATTTCACTCTAGAATACGAACTGGAAAATTGCTTTTCAAAGTGATGAGATTAATTTTTAAAACGGTATAACAAGACGTTTAGTGGGACTGCGTACTTAACGACAGCGTCTTTCAATCAAACGGTTTCCTCCTAGATTAAAAAAAATAAATAAATATTTTAATCTTACCTCAAGGCTGCCGGTATGTTGACTACACGGTTCATGACCAAGCTAACTGGATAGTCAATGGGGAAGACTAGACCGCCAACGGCCACATGGTCCATAAGGTTTTCACCGACGCCGGGTGAATGATGAATTACTGGTATATTGATACTTCTTAGGTGTTCTTCCGGTCCGACGCCTGGAATGTAAAAAGAACTAGTGGCATAATCATTTTAATTGTATATATACCTATACGGTCTACGAGCAAATCGTCGTCAGAAGCTGGGTTACCAAACGGTTGCTTTCACCGCGCGGTAAAGTCTACGCGGATCCCCTTGCGTGCGCGTATCTCCTCACGTAGACACAGAAAACAAACCGACCACATATTATCGTGTTTTATTATTACGTACATCTTACAACGTTCACAGACGCACACGCAAAGTTGCGCAATTTCAAATATGTGCAGTCAGGGTTCAGAACAAAAAAAAATTAAATGTTAATAAAAATTTAAATAATATTTATATTTTGCGTTTAACGTCATCGTTTATTTTTACGTTATATAATATTACGTATATTTGTAATATAAGATGTATAGAATTGCATATTATATTATCATTGACGGAATTTCATATTTATTTTTTATTGAATATTCTCAATATAAAACTAAAGAAAAAAAATAAATGAAAAATTACTGTACGGATTAAGTACCTATGTGTGATAATTTGTAATAAATTAAAATATATTTTTTGATTTGATATATTTTATAATAGATAGTCGAGTATTTTTATGATACATTTAATTTTTTTTTTTTTTTTTTTTTTATACTTCAAGTTATTATTTATTTGTTTAGCGTTTTAATTACACTTGAAATTGCGATGTACTCTTGTAAGACGTTATGGTTACAAAATGACAAACGATATAATAGTTATGATATAACTACGAATTCTCACCTGAGAGCATAAGTAATTGAGGACTGTTGATAGCTCCTGCGGACAGCACGACCTCTCTTTTGGCCAGAGCAACCCGCTTTCGGCCGTCACGTTCAAATTCCACACCGTAAGCCCGTTTGCTCTCCGGGTCGATGAGCACTTTAGTCACATGTGACCACAGTGCCACGTGCAGATTCCTACGCAGCCTCACTGGCTGCAAAAAAGCTTTTGATGAACTGCACCGATAACCCCGGCGCATCGTGAACTGGTATAATCCGTACCCTGTCTGAATTTCACTGTTGGTGTCTCGAATCTCGTAACCCATTTCTTCGCCGGCTTGCAAAAATGCGATGCCTGCACCAAAATACAAAATAAATTGTTAAAATGTAGTGATATTATTACCGTTAAGACAATTCTATAATTGGCTACCCTAAACTGCACAATTAACAATTTGATATACGATTCCTGTGGAAGCTAAGATATTCGACAATTATCGAATGCGTTTTAACTTTTTCTATCAAAGTTGACACGAAAAACTCAGTTATACACTTTCTGAAACCTCGATCTCTACAATATTTTAATGCATAAAAACATGTATGCATTGCAACATGTATTAATATACATGAGTATATAATTACTGCAGAAGTCTCGACAATATTACGATTGCAAGTCACTTACGCCATTTTCAGTTTGTGGATAATAATATATAGTTTTACGGCTCGACGAAACGACGTTCAAAACGAATCCAATACAATATTATAATAATTGTATCAGATTACTAGGTACAATAAACGGGTCTGAGTTGCAAGTCATTAGATTAAATCACTCCTAGCAATTATTACATTTCATTTTCGATCTATATTTTTAATTTTTTTTATATATGTATATTCACACGACAATGTTGCGTGTAAAAGATTACATTCTCAATAATAATAAAATTGTTATATGTATATATTATTTTTAACGAAAAATAATCACATTTTAAGATTTTACTATTAATATCGATGTGGCGATATCCATACCAATTAATGTATTTTAATATCTTCAACGTCAAAATCATATTTTATGGACATCGATCAATGAAATAAAATACTGTTAATAGCATATTTAAAAAAATGTATATATTTTTTATAGATACTTTTTATCTATTCTGTAAAACCACAATAATGATATTCATTTTTAAAATAAAAACAATTTCGATTTCAAGTAGAAAATATGTAGGTGATTTAATCATGTACGGGAGGTAACATATTTCGATAAGAACAAATGTATAATAATAGGTAATCATTTTTAAATATAGAAAAAAGTTCATTAAATTAGCTAACTTATTATCGAAAAATATATTTCTCATTATAATTTCTAACAGTTACTTTTTTGTTTAAAAAGAGTTCATTGTATGATCTAGGCTATATACAGCTAGCATAATTGTTAATTATTACTTTATCATGTTTCTATTGTTCTTAATATCAATATAACAAGCTCAATCTTACCAGCTGTTATTAATTATCATGTTTAATCAATTTTTTGTAGTTAACACAATAAAAAAATTAATCACTAGGTAATGTTTTAAACGTGCCATTGCACTAAATATTAGATTTGTCATTGACCATGTAATAAATATTACTGTTACAATAATGTGACACAATATTTACACTATACTTGGTAATAAAAGTGTCTTGTTTAATAAGGTGATGCATCTCATCCAAGGACGAATATTGTGGTATAGAACATTATTATGAAGAAAAAGACCCGCCCACTTTTCGAATTTCTCAACCGTTCACGTAAATACCCAATTACCATCTAGGTAGTCATCTGTACATCCAACATTATTTCACCAAGTACCTAACTGGCGTGTACGATTCGACACATACGTAATAATTGTATATTTTTACATAGTTACTCTGAGTTATGTCAAAACGTATTCGTGTATCAAATCTGAGATTTTAATTTACCCAAAGGCGTGTTCCACGGTGAGTCTTGGACGGTTAGATAACCTCCGGTGGCGTGATATCTGGTGTTTTTGGCCAAGTATGGATTTCGTTGATCCTGCGATTTTTTGAAGTACGGAAGCACATCTTCAAACCCCCAACCGGGGTTGCCCATCCTCTCCCAGTTGTCGTAGTCTCGCTTGTTGCCCCGCACGTACAACATGGTATTCAACACGCTAGAACCGCCGATCACCTTACCCCGGGTCCAACAGCACCGATTGCCCTTCATCGCCTGGCACGCCGAGCTGTCCGGCTGCGTTTTATACTTCCAGTCATACTTGCTGCCATGTAAGTACAACGATATAGCTGGCACGTCTGTAATCTCGGACTCGTGTCCACCAGCTTCCAGTAGAAGTACGTTCCATTCCGGGTTCGCGGATAGACGATTAGCGACAACAGCGCCTGCCGAACCTCCTCCCACCACTATGAAATCATACTCAGATCTCAAATTCTTCTCGTTTACCAAACGGTTCTCCGGGTCGTACAGGTCATAATTGTAGTAGGCTAAAGCGGCCAAGAACGTAGGTAAAAACAGTAGCTTTCCACCTCCAGCTACCTTGGTTGCAAACTTTATAGCACTTATGAGCACTGTACCTGCGTGCACCATTTTGAGACTAGACGTCACATTCTATCCGTAACCAGTATGGTAAGTAAATCTGTGAACAAGAAATGCATTTTATGAATTGAGAATTTTAAATTTTATTGATGGTCTAAACTTGTAATTATATCGTAGACCACATGACGATTAAGTACAGAATTAGTAAGTACTGTATAGATTTATACTTTGTGTGCATAAAAAATACCTCCAATTATACTTTATTTTAATATCATGTTACTGTGGTAGAGTGGTAAATTTGATATTATATGAAAGATAAAAGTATTTTTATTGTTAAAGGTTAAAACTCAATATCTTACGGATGAGGATAATCGTTTTCACAGTTTTAAATTAACTTTTAATAAATTATACTTAATTTATCATATTACTTAAAAAATATGCAATGTTAATATTTGTATTGATTAAATTTTCGAACACATAGTTATTAAATTTTGAAAATATGTGTTAAAATATACTTTAATATAATAACTTTCTATAGAAAATTTCAATGAAACACTTATGAATTTGATTGTTGGTAATTTATAATTAATAGTTCAGTTAGGAAGAAGTTTATACAATTTAGAAGGTATATACCTACATAGAAATAGGAATGTTTTGAGATCCCAGAAAATATTCTTCTTTTTAGTTGCATAATAAACTAAAGTGAGATTTAATCTAAGTCTTCTCTTTGTGTTTAACTTTTCAGTGCATAAATCATGTTCCGGATCGGAAAGCAAAGTTAACAATTTATTTGGCTTGTCTTAAACTCGTTATCATATTTTTATTATCTTGATATTTTAAGAAATATTTATTATTTATAATGTATTAATTATGTTTTTAAACTAAATCATAAAAAATTATATAAATTTAATGAACACTTATTAAAGAGTAATTTGATTTGATTTAATTTTTACTTTATATTTTTTTTAAGTGGAAATTATGAAAACAAAATATTTATTTCGTTATTATGAATATTTTTTTTTTTACTAATACTAATAATTAAATTTTTATAATTAACTTCACAATATCAATAATATTTAAAACATATAAACGTATTAATTTTTGTATAAACAAAGTATTTAGTAAGAACTTGCAACATTATTGTTAAAAACGTGTAATATTCTTTTACTTGTATAGTTTTAACATGTACGTGAACTACAGTGGTCGACGAAAGAATGAGAATTGAAAATTCACTTAGCAGTGGTACCCAAATTCGGTATTTTCTTTACTACGTGCAATGTATTATACACACACACACACACACACACACACACACACACATATATATATATACTATACAGGAAAATATTTCTACATCATTGATGTAACGATATGTGAGTCTAGATTATCAAAAAAAAAAAAAAAGTGTTGGAATGTAGGAATCCAACAAGAAGATTCTATAGTGTAGTTCCGGTGCGTGATGCGATCGGAATAATTTTAAGTGGAGTCTGGTTTTTACAATACGTTTTGGTTGTGTTGAAAAAAATAACAGGTTGATTATTCGAATTTCTTGATTATCTTGATATCGGAAGCATACCTCTCGGCAAGTGAATATTATAAATAACGATTATAACTATCCAAGGCAAGATTAAATTTTCATAATATTTAGATGAAATGACTGTGCCTAAAGACAAGTCAAATTGGCTATTGAAAAACCTTTGTAACGATAAGTAATTAATTATTAACACTTTTATGTACAAGTAGATGCATTATAGTATAGTGAAAGAGAAATTTACTGTATGACACGATTCGTAAAACAATATTTACTTAAAGTGGTAGCTTATTTAGAGTTCATGGTCATACTTTCAGTTTTTACTTTTTATTAATATTTACTAAATGTAATGAAAATATTTTACAATTAAGCTTGAACTGATACATATATATATATATATATATATATTATACATATTATATTATATAAAATAATACGAACAATGACAGTCACGAAATCAATCGGCGACGCACTATCAAATGGAATTTTTTTATTTTTTTTAAATACAAATACTCGTATTATATACGAACTCGCCGTTCATGAATGATAGATGTATTTATTCAACGAAAATCATCGCATTTTCATTATGTTTGACGTGTTTCATAATGTTGTAACATACGTATACAAACTTTTAACATAGTACCCATATAGGTATCCACCTATCAGTTTGTAATTATTGTGAGCTATAACCAGTCATTTATAATATTATGGTTTATATAATATATACCTACGCATAATCATATGTCCTAAGTCCAATATAGGCAGTTATGTTTATTTAAGTAACTATTTTTTTTATCAATATTAATTTTACGTAAACTATTATATTTTCATTTATTCGTTAGAAAGCTTGTGTACTATAAAATAACGAATAAATATTTTATTTAAATTAAAATGTTTGTAATAAATTATATTATAAGTCATACAGATTTAATTAAGTATATGCTGGAATCTATTATTTTTAATTGTACATATGAATACGAATCCGACAGATATAACTGGAATATTTTTAGTAGGTACATTTAAAAACGTTATTATTTGTTAAATAATGATGAAAAAAATAATTAACCACATGCACGTGACTATTTTATTTTTACACTATTTTGCAATGAGTGTGTACTCAAAATTGTGTCATTTCACAACATAAACGTCCCCTCTCCTAAAGTAAGGCCAAGGCCACTCTCTCATTTCCCCAAAGCACAAAGCATACATAACACTTTACAATTAACTAGAAAAATGTGACATAATAATCTTATTAATTTATCGTAGTCATTATCGCAAGGTATAATTACATAGCAGACACTTTTTTAAAGTAGAACCATAAATATTTTATTTTTTTTTTTTTTTTTAATATTATATATTAATTACTAGTGTAACAATATTACACAGTGTACTAAAATTAGTGCGCATCGAGTATAAATTTGAAAAAGCGAAAACAGTTGAACTTGCGTGTTTTGCGTTCGACAAGAGTGTCCAAATAATTGTTAACTTGATAAGCGATGTAAAATGAAGTTCTTACGGTGATGTCGTGTAGATTTCATGGTCACAAGTTTAAATGGTCGGTGCTCCATTAAAGTAAATTTATTGGCGTACGTGACAAGACGACACGACTGGAGTTACGTACGAACGGCAAATATTTAATGATAACCCGATTATTATTGGTGAAAGCCTTATACAACTCGGGTATTTTGTCTTAACCGGGCACAGCGTTTAAATACATATGCACTAACTAACTGACGACATAACCGTAGCTATTGCTACACTACAATGTTTTTGCGGCCGTCTTGTTGCGCTGTCTCGCGGTGACATACACGCGATATTGTCTTAAACAATGATAATGAATTAGTTATCAAAACGAAAATATGTATTTTATAATAATTCTTGTTTTACCGGATCAAATGAAATGACGTGCCTAAATGATATTTCGTCGTTATTCCGAGACGACCGAGTGCGTGTACCTATTCGCAAACAATATTTTCAATGCGTGATAATGCGATTACGCAACTTACGCGTTTTAGCAGAACTATCGAAAACGTTTTATCTAAAAGAAGAAAACTGCGATGGTAACCGGAAGTCAGTAATTCCGATGACGCCAAAACCTGCGTTTTTGAAATTACTGTGATATCGCACGAACACGTGCAGCGCCGTGTAAACCGGTTGCGGTCGTTAATATTCCACTTTCGTTCTTACATTTCAATATGATACACCTATAATAATATTATATCATGTATCTTATATCGTCCATAACGTTGCATTAAACCCGTAGTCACACTACGACCGGAAGGTATTGCTGTTATATAGGTACAGTATCACAATATTATTATGTTATAATATTATAGCCTATAGGCAATAACTACGTAGGTAAACGTTAGTTCAGGTTGTAGGAGGTGGTGGTTGTGGTGGCGGCGGCGGCGACAGTGCCGGTGGTCGGCGGCACATTACATTATTTTTCTCAACGACCATCCCGGCGTGGTGGATCAAATCGTCGCATTCGAAACGCACGAGATGGGTAAGATAAATCGATCGATAGATCTCTCACACACGGGCCCGACGTACACGTAGTACAACGTCCAATCGGTCGTAAATAAAAATCATATTATAGGCGTACCGGTGTACAAAAGAGACGCTCTACATCTATATATTATTATACTCACGACACACTCACACACACACACACTCCCACAATCGCACACATAAAAGATTCCTGTGTAATCGAGTGAATAATAGCGTATATCATATGAATTGAGATGTACAATATAATAATATGTACATATAATAAATTATAACATAATATATTATTATGTTATATTGATGATTTACCTGCTGCGGACGTCCTGTTGCGGTGGTGGTGCTGAACGGCTACCTAATTTATATGTATGTACACATATATATCTATATGTATATATTATATTGTCGTCGTACACTTCTCGTTTGTCGCGTCGGTAGATTTATCGTATCACGGTGATTTTGTGTTATTTACCTGCCGAGAGACGCGCCGCGCGGCAGCAGAGGAAACCGGACGAGGAAAATGATTTGCAAGACCGCTGACGACCGAACGGTGGGTATAGCTGATTTAGCGGGCGGCCACTTCGCCGCGGCACTCGTCCGAGATCGAAAACGGGGCAAATCGATTTTTGAAAAATATTTTAAACCGTAAAAACCAAAAACTACGCGCGACCGGGACGTACGCGAACAACCTAACCGTGGCGCCGAACAAGAGCCTCCAAGAACCGGCCGACCGTTTTTGAGTGGACGCACGCCGACGTTTGAACGCGCGTTTATCGGTCGGCTGTGCCGATGCGGTGTCCGTCCGCGATCATTTCCTCTTCCCTTTGGCTGTCGCAGCACCGTAGATCCCCCTCCCCGCTACCGACCCGGACGAGTACGCGCAGTGAAAGTAGTAACCACCGCGCGCGACCAACGACCACGTCGTCATAATATTGTTATAGGTGCGTACGCACATTACGCATCGATGATGTATTTATTATATTATGTACGACTACATAATAGATGTGTTTGGATTTAATCGCAAAATATATCGTTATAATAATATCACAGAAATGAAAAAAAAAAAAAAAAAAAAAAAACCGAAAGTAAACCTTAATAATAATTGGTCTCCTGTGATTATTAGGTATTATGTATATTACACCAGTCGTTACTGCAAATTGAGACGGCACGCATAATGTTAGATTGGTACTTACAATATATCTTAATAAATCGTTGCTATATTACTCGAATTATAATAATACTGCATGTGATTATTATATGAATTATTGTATTTCGCAGACAATAGAGCAGACACTATACATTATAGACTCTACAGTTCTTGTGATATTATTATGCCCATATAGCGTTATTAATTTGCGCTTGTGCGTTATCCAACGAGACCGTTTGTAATTGTAAACAGACGACTGCCGCGAAGTGCACCGACACTATTGTAATGCACCTTTTTTTAACTGAGCGCGTCGAATCGATGGCTAATCGAAACACTATGCATTATTGTCTGTAAATTAATTAGGCACATAATATACGCGCGACGTTGTTTGATAACGCGGCTGATGGTGTAGCTTCTATGGGCGTGTTGCAGGAGGGTTAATTGCCGCGGGCGCGTTAAGATACATTTGAGGAACAAGATTTTAAGTAATTTAATCACATGAATATTGAATATTTCATGTTATGCAGCACTAAAATGGGCACGAACATTTCGGTAATACGAAGTGTGCTGTAATACCCCGGTGAAGAAATATTTTTGAAGAAAATAATCGTTAAAAAATTTGTTAACGCTTTGGGACTATAATTATACGAAAATATTTTTTACCTACAGGTAAAAAACACGCTCAAAATAATTTGCGGTTTACATACACATTTTGAGTAAAATATAGTTAATAAATATTTGTAAAAATGTTATCGATTTTTTTTAAATTTTGATGGCTAATACGTCTTGTACCATATTTTAAAAACAATAAGTAAGAAAAATCATACTTAATATGCAAATTTCTTGTTTATTTACTAACAAAATATTATGAACTAAAAAAAATGAAGTTATAGAAAGCAATTTCAATAAAACTAGAAATATTTCTATTTCTAGTTTTATTGAATTTTGCTTTTTATCGCATTTAAATTAATATTAATAATTAAAATTGAAATAGTTTACACATTTAAATAATTATAGCAGTACAACACATTTGTCAAATTTTTTATTTGATTTTAAACACTAATTAATTGTTGTTTTTTATATATATATAAAAAAAAATTTAAATCGCTTTTTATTCAATTATCATCTAATCAAACTTGACGACGCCCAAGCCACTAACCAACATTTCATTAACTTTACTTGCAAAACAATCAAGACCCTATAAACAAATGGGCGATAACAATACTTATATTATGTAATACAAACGTTGGACAAAATGCTGCAAGACAATATGGTTCGTATGATTTTACAAATACTATTATATACGATAGGAATAATCGAAACGACATAGTCTTATTAAACAAAAACAAAAATCATTCAGCCTCTAGCCTCACGCATAATACAATATAATGGTTCGATATTTAATACTGTAAGACAATGAGTAATTAGCTTGTATTTGTGAGGCGAGGGCTGAAATACGTCAATTATTTTCGATAACACGACTGAGCACGACACGTTTCAGGCATTCAATGTACGATTAAGCCTAATATTTGTCATGTACAAGAAACACGCATATGGAGTACCTACTACATTGGTACAGCGATGTTTTAAAAACCAAAACGACTTTAAGCATCGAATTTCCGGTACTTCGTGACGATCGATGATGCAATTTTAGTCGACATCACTTACGTATGGGTACGTCGTGCATATTATAATTATAATAACAACGCGATTTAACGGTGTTACAAACACGATCGAATAAATATAATTCATTGTTTACCTCCTAGAGTATATGCCCAATTTTAATTACCACGAGTTAAATTTCTACGTTTGACCATTACAGAAATAATTAAATTTGCTCTATGTTTTAAATTATCAATACATCAGACTTTTTCTAACCGTATAATTATCGTTATTACATTATAGTATGTTTTATAGTATAATTTTATTTTATCACGTAACTATTATGCAAAATCATCTTTACCATTCTATAGTGGTACGATTATGTGTAAAAATAGTTATAAAATAGTTAGACAATAATGATATATCTTGCGTGTATACAAATCAAAGTGATAGAATTATATTAAAAAGTGCAATATATAGCGCATTTATAATTAGTCACTTTTATGCAGATATATAAAATAAAAACAGTTGAACACTCGTATTGAAATTAAAATTTTTTTTTCTTATAAACTACCGAGAAGAATTAACATTCAAATTAAATTTTATTTTTATTATATAATTTAATATATTGTAAACAAAAAAATCGTTTTATTATATTATATGTACGTAAATTTGATCGTCATGATATAAGCAATATTTCGTAACATTTTTCAGACATGAGGTTAAATTTAAATAATTATAGTATTATGCTTTGTAGAATACTAGTAATTACTACATATAATCAACAAATGTAAAATTTCCAATGAAATGTCATTAAATTAATATTAACGTAGCTATCACTTCTTACTTCTTAGTTCAAACCGTTAAAAGCCTGAAATATTCAGGAATAAATTATTCTAAGTCAGTTATGTATTCTACTGCTAAATATTACATTATAATACATTTATATAATGGTTATGGGCTATAAAATCTAGCATTAGATGCAGATAGCATTGAGAATATAATAATATGTTTAATATATACATTTATAATCAATGATAGTTTTAGTAACCTTAAAAAACTAGGTAGGTATATAACTAACTATAGTGCTATTAAAACAAAGTCGGTGGTGTCAAAATTCATTAGACCACACAATATTAAACTTGTAGAATATTATAAATATTACAAAGGTTATAGTTTACATTTATTACAGTAGGTGAATTTCTCATCTACAATACGCATCAGGTAATGTTTAAAAAATTAGAAGGTACTTTTCTAGAGGTTTGCTCTTATTGAGAAGTCAATAGTCGATCGAACGTTGCATTACCTAGTCTAAGTTGTGATATTCTGACACATGCCAAGCATATATAATATTATTGTATTACCTACATTTATACATAATAATTATAAAGAACTAGTTACAATCATTGAATTTCACATGCATTATTTTACAGATTAAATATGTCCATTCTACATTTATTTTTGTAATAAAATATTTGTCTTGCATATTTTAACATTTAGGATTTTTTCTATTTTATTAAGGCTTGCATGCATATTTGTATTAATATTTCTTATTCATTTTTTAGAAATTTCATACACATAATAGGTATTATAGTTTAAATTAATAATAGATAAAGTAAATATTAATCTGATTTTGGTTTATTGGTAAAAAATAAAAGATTTCATACATTTTTATTTGTATAAAAAATGTTATCTGTTAATTAAATGTATATATTGAATAGCAGGCGCCAATTATGATATAAAATATAAACTATAATTAGACATATAAGAACCAACTTAACAGAAAATACCTGATGAAAATATACGCTATACTTAGTTTAAAATGATCAAATTACAAATATTTTTTTTAAAATCATATTTATTTATTCTCCTTCATTAAATAATATTTAAATCTACTATTATTCACAACACTATTTATTCTACTTATTCTCTGCTTAAATTTTGTTTATTTTTATTATATATTTATTAACCTAAATCCTTAAAGTAAAGTATAAGACGTGTAGGTTGTAAATCAAATGAGTAAAGACATTAAATAATAACTTTCATTTCTACTGAGTACCTAAATATAGTTACAGTACCTAGCATGCTATATTTAATATAATAAAATATGACATCAAATATTTCATATATATAAATACCATTTTAAATTTTAATCTTGAAACTTCATTAAGCTTATTCAAAAATTTACAATTTGTCTAGTTATGTATTATTATACCCTATTGTCTACTATATTTATTATGTATTATGTAATTTTTAGTAAATCAAAATAAAATATAAGTTACAAAACATAAATAGTTATAAGAATAATAACGAGTTATTATTTTTAAAACAAAAGATGTTGAAAATAATATCCTTATAAGTAGTTACAGCCATAATTGCGTGACCAATAGTGCAAGAGTCAATTATCTTTAATACATTAAGAACTCCTGCAGTTTATACAAATGATCCATGAATCTGCTTTCTTTTGTATCTAATTATTCAAATTGTATATTATTATGAAGGTTAATTTTAGTTTTTAGAAGATTAGTGTTGATATTATTAACTTATTACCTACCATTTCAAAGTACAATAAACAAGTAAATATGTTTTTGGAATTATTATAACTACACTATATAGTAGAAAAAATCGAGATAATTGACATGATAAAATTGTAATATTCTATATTGTATAACTTCCTGTATGGTATCTTCTACCTATTAATACAAATTTGTTTTAACTAAACTCAAAATTATAATCGAATATCTAATTGTATAAGTAGTATAAATTATTTTTGAATTTTTTAATAAATTCTTCTTCAACGGAACTCGTTAAAAATAAATGTAATTGACAAAAATTTTGTAACTATTATGAAAACTAAGTAGGTATGTATCACTCTTGGATACCATAGAAGTACTCTAAATGTGCCTAGGAAAAATAAAACATCTGAAAAATGTTGAAAATATTTAATACTAAAATAGCTACAATTTAAATAAAATATATTATTTCAATTAAATTCTTTATTTTTAGAAAATTATAACTCATA